AAAAACATGTACGTTCAGAAGAGAGGTATAAGCAGGGAGCGGGAGCGGCCCCGAAACAAGAAGCCGATTATGGAGGGAAGGGGGGCATGAGGCCACAGTGGCGTCGCTTGTTCGATGTTTCTGCAGCCCAGCATCTCACGGGTCACCGCCTCCCTACAGCGGGGAGAGGGCGACCAGTTCATTTGATCGCGCCATGGCGTGTGGCAATGACACGCCACGCAAATTAGCAGCATGCAAAACTATTGTTTAGTAGCATAGAAGTCTTCGCGCTTTCCCGCCCCGAAGGCCACATGATGATGCACATGATGATGCATCAGCAAGTCATCGAGAAAATGCGGCAGAGAAAATCAACACACACATTGGAGGCGCCTTCGTTCGGGGGCGGGGGGGTTACCTGCATCACTGGAAACGGTTTCTCCTGCTCGTCACGGCTGGCAGGGGGCGCCGCAGTTTCGGGGGGGAGGAGGTACCAATGAACAAAAAAATTCTCACCGTAAAGACCATGATGATTGTCGCCACAGTCACGACGAAGACGCAGCACGAGCCCTCAAACGAGCGCTCGTAATACTTGTCGGCATCACAGCTGCGCACCATGTACTTGTGCTTCCCCAGCCAAATGCCCACCTGAGGAAGTGAGGTACGCAGAGTCGGGCACCAAGTCGTTGGCTAAGCAGGTCTGTTGCTCGAGCTGAATGCCTCCTCAAGTACGTACAGGGTCGCAACGTTGGTGCTCCTTGGAAAGGTAAAAATGGTTGCTGCTGCAGATCGGCTCTGCGTTGGATGTTGCCACAGGTGCGTCTAGGAGTTGATCACTCGCTCTCTCCAAGCGCCCAAGCGTGATCCAGCCAACATCCAATAGATGCCTTTCCTGTGCCCGCCTCTCCCCATCGAAGTTCGTGCTACCTAATGACTGGCTGAAGACACCTACCCGCCACAAACATTAGGAAAAAAAAACCAGCAAACCATCTGGTTCTTGTTGTCAGGGTTCAGGAGGACGCCACGAAGCCCTTAATATTGCGCTTTTCCTCTAGTGTGGAAACACCGCAAGTGCATCCAACCACATCACCGGCAAGGTGTACAAACAACACGAGTTCCAGAAGAGACATGGGACTCCAAGACGAATGTCACACCAGACGGCCGAGACTCGTGAGGAGAAAGAATGACGCGTGTGCGTGCGTGTGATTTCTTAATTATAGTGTATACCGCGCTAACCGGCTGTGACCAATGAAAAGACGCCAGTCTCATGTTTCTTGCTACCATCGACCGCGCTAACCGGCTGACCACTGGAAGGACGGTATTGGAGTCATGGTGCGGCCGAAATCGCTTCAAAAGGTCATGATCTGGAGTCCCGTGATGGGGAGGGCTAGGGTTTTCTACTTAGACTGAACACAGAGATGCTAAGTTATTCCTCAGACAAAACACAGAAAGGGGGGCTAGGCTATTCTTCAGACTCAACACAAACAACGGAATGAGATGAAGACAAGTGCAGTTGACGTGGGCGCGATTGCGTTACTGCGCTTCCATCCCATCTAAACCCGCGCGCCCTTGCGGCCTCAAAGTGTTGACGCACCAGCCAAGGGTGAAGTAACACATTAGAGGGTAACAAATTAGAAAAACACAAGAAGGAGGTGCTGTTCTCTTTGGTTAGACGACTTTGCAAACATACCAAAGGACAATAGAAAAAAAAAAATCTGAAACGAAAGTGGAGACCGACTACTCACAGGCTCGGCGAGGCCGTCGCCTACCCCGGTCACGAAAACGAGGATGTACACGAGGTCGCGCTGGTAGGACTGCCGGAAGAGGTGGGCGAAGAAGACGATCATGATCTCCCCGGGCCAGATGTTGTACTTGATGATCCATTCCAGCGTGTGCGGGCGGTCCTGGGGGCAGCGGGACGATGCACCGACGGGGAGAGTTGCGAGAGGGCCGGAGATCCAGGCGCTGTTGTTGGTGTTTGTGTTTGTTGCTGTTTCGCCCTTGTCTTGACAATATGAATCGATTTGGGCCTCTGCAGTACCCGGGAAATTCTTCTACCTTGGGCTGCGATGCAAAGGATACGGACTCCCGTGGCCACAAGCTAAACCAAAAGAATGGTCGCTCCCGACCAAAACACGTAAGGTCGGTACTACTGTCGACAGCGTCGCGAGCACGAGGTGATGGACACGACAGGGTCAGAACGCCCGAACAAGAAAAAAGAACAGCAGTGAGTATTCGTATCATGTCGTCGCGTGTGTGATGGCATCCCGCTTCGAAGCACCGTGTCAACTCGTGCCGTACATTATCATATCGTTCGAGGAAAACCACACCATTTCATCAACTCGTGCCGTACGCTATCATACCGTGCTGTAAACTTGTCAAAGTGAAACCGCCATTTCATAACGCGGGGCCTCTTTCAACTGGAATGAACTTGAAAACAACACGCAATTTTGTCGAAAGGGATCACTCCAAACCCTCCTCCGAATCATCCCATACCGAATACCGCACCATACCACCTACTTCATGTCCCATATCATCTCACGGGACATCATCCGGTTACCATTCTACACCATAGGTATTCAACCCGGAAACACTTGACAGTCTCCCCCGGCTCCACTGAACGTGGTAAACACACCGGACAATTTCCTGACACACGATCGCACCATAACTGCTGCCGTATCAATCCATACAACACCGTACCGTACCGTTTCATTCCAGTACAACAAAATACCATGTTATACGGGGAAAAAATCACAATCTCCGTACCTCCGGGCGGTCGAGTCCGTTGAACTGCAGCATGAAGAGCGGGATAGCCTCTCGGATGGGCTTGATCATCACCAAGAAGCCGATCAACGTCACCCATACACCCCAGCTCAGCTGCGGCAGCAACAGCGACAAGCAAGCAACAACGGCAGCGGCAGCAGCAACAACGACGGCAGCAGTGTAACCGTGTGCGACACTGCCAAGTGACGTGAATATGTGCCGACACTGACAGTGGAAGGAACCGTGGAAGGAATCAGACTGCAACAGCTGGCCTCCATCCGCTACCTGTGCCTTGCTTGTTTGTGGAAGCCCGTAGCCTGGTACCACAATATCCTGCGGATGTTATGGCACGTGCACCGTGACGAGAGCACGGAAGACGAAGGTGCTAGATGCACAAGGTCCTAGAAGCTTTTGAATGGACTCGTGCAACCACTGGAGGGGAGACGTCATCGTGATTGCCCCCAAGACTTGTGTAGACTACATTGTCAACAACCTCCGAAGGAACATCTCGGCGCTCATCTCCAATTTTATTATTATTTCGCCTTGTTTTTCTGTGGAACGGGCACGGACATGAGAAGCGTTCCAATTCGGGTCGAGGCTCGATTCCCATTTCGCCGCCACCGTCAAGCTCAGGGTATCTTGTGACGGAGTTTAACGTACGATCCACAGCTGAGCTAGTTGTGTTTCTTGACCGTGTTGTTTTATAATGATGCAACTCCGAGCGCCTCTGATACATACTTGAAAATATTTCTTGCTTTCGGCAACAGGCTGCACAAACTCTGCGTCTTTGATGCGATAGCTTTTTCGAGGAACCGCTAGTGCTCGGTCTGAACTTCAACGAAGACCGTAAGGACCGGAAAAGCAAGAATGCAAGAGCAAAAAACACCAACGGAGGCGTGCATGCTATATATCTGTGGCGAATATTTAGCAACGACCGCAAACACGGTGCTTTGCACACCACTGCACTCAGCACCTTCTCCTACATAGCCTTAGCGTCCGACGTACCTACGTCAAGGTCATAGACATACCGACAGCACGTCCCCAACAAGGAGAACACCGAAAAAAAAGTTATCACATCTCGTCTCAGGGACAAATACTAATGACCAAATCGCAAAAGAGATCGAAGGCGGGAGCCAGCAAGGTAGGCGATCCCCCGCGTCCGTGCGACCCCAACCGGTGCATCGACCAAACCATTGGATTCCTCAAGGTGCGGACTGGCGCCCAGAACAGGTCATCCCTGACGGGTCCCACGACAACTCTCAGCGGTTTCTGACAATGTCGACGTTAACAACCCGGGGTGTGCAGTCGTGCGTCTGCCTGGATGGTGGCGAGCAGCACTGTAGCTCAAACACCCATATCGAGTCTAATGTCTTCTGATACACGGTGATGGCATTGTCTCTGAAACGGGGAGATATCCCCGGGAACTCCAACAAATGAAGCTTGTTTTCTCAGCACGACCTTGCCCTACTCAAGCACTAAGAAACGGCTCTGTCTCGTTGGTGCACAGGATATGCGGTTCAATGATCCCGTTCGTGAAATAGGTACCTCAAGGGTCCCGGTGCAGTAACAGTCAGGAGAAGGTCGGAAGAGCAGGGGTACCAGGTAGGCGGCGAAATGCTGCACCTTCCGGGTGTAGTTTACCTGGAACCAACAAAAATAAAGAAAAAAATATATAACAAGACGTGAAAAGAGTGAGAAGTGCAAAACGACGAGCGAAGGAGGAGCATCGAGAACGGGAACGAAATACGGAAACAGTCTCAAAATAGCCGTTGTTTGTCCATTGACCTGCACAGCTGAGACCTCCTCGAAGTGTGTCCTCCGTGACAGTCTACTGGTCCAACTGATGGCCTTCGTTTTCGGCACGTTTGAAACCGTTCCGACCAACCGACACAACGGAGCTCCCCTTCCATCTACCCCGCAAATAAATCGATACCTATGATTTTGTCTCCTACATGAAGCACCAACCTTTACCCAAACGCGGACGGGTACGGGTGTTTCGCGGTAGTGAGAGTAGAGAACGGAACGGTACGCACACACACACACGGAGGTGAGGCGTGTCATTAAACGCCAAATATTGTAAACTATAACACCAATCCAAGGGCTTGCAATTACCTCCAAAACTTCAACACGACCAATAGGATGCTCGAACTTCCCCGCGAGACGGTCGAAACGCCGCCATTTTCGGCATCGTCACTGCTGTTATTGCTGACGTGTAACCAAGCTTTCGGAAATGGGTCCAGGGATTGTGGAGCCTTCCGCAACCTACGGCACACGCAGCACAGCCCTCACCTTGAACCACGAGTTCTTGGATGTCATGATATACCCCGTGTCGTCCGCGGGGCAGAAGTACCGGCACAGGGAGCCGGCCAAAACAGACACCACTATCATGCACGCTAGCTTAGGGACCTGCAAGATGGTCACAAACAAGTCGGCGGCGGCGGCGGCGGCGGCGAGAATCAGAGCACAATCAAGCAAAAAGCGCAATCGAGCGGCGACAATAAGCTTTCATAACATGAACGTATGTGCGATGGACGTCCGGTCAACCTACGAATGGCAAACCCTTTCCATCAAAGGAGAAACGGACAGCACTACTGGCGTAGTGGAGCCAAATCGAAGTACGGCGGTGTGGGTCTCGGTTGGCGCGGTTTCATCCGATCGCTTCTGGCCACCAGTCTTGGCTTATTGGTGCATTGATATGTTTGGACGGGGTCACCCGGCGGGGGCGGGGAAGGCGGGGGGGGGG